TCTGAGTGCACACTGTGTTTTAAAGATTTAGTCTGCAGGTTTTCCGCAGTGCACAATACAAGAGCCTTAGAGCAGTAAAAGGAGCAGGGCTGTGCCTGTAAGCTCTGCTGCAGAGGGTGAGGGGCGATGAAGAAGAAAACTGCGGGAGACCTCAGGGACTATCAGCCCTGAGGACAAAACAGTCTTCAGGCTCAAGTTATTCACAATCACGCTGCCCAGGGAGTTTCAGTTCCCTTTTCTCTTTGATTTCATTTCACTTGCTGCTGTTTTTTAACTTTGTGATTTAGAAACTCAGTTGGTTAAAATGTACAAAAACTGTATCAAGTGTTAATCTTGCCTGGACTCCACACTGAGCACTCTGGCAGTACACCGCAGAGCTACGACAAAGAGAGCAGAGCCCCCTACTGCCCACCCAGAGAGATCAGGAATTGTCCAGGAACAATTATACCATCCGCCCACTTGTCCTCTAACCACTTTATCGAGTACAGAGTCACAGGGGAGCTGGAGCCTCTCCCAGCAAGCAACAGGCGCAAGGCAGGATACGCTCTGGACAGGACGCCAGTCCATCATAGGACACACACACTCACACACCCTGGACAGGACACCAGTCCATCACAGGACACACACAGACACGCACACACAGAGACACTCACTCACACCAAACTAAGGAGAGCATACGAACATCACGCAGACAACACTTCAGGAATGGAACCCAGGGGCCCAGAGCTGTGAGGCAGCAGTGCCGACCCCTGTGTACAGGAGGAACGTGAGTCTGTTCGTTACAGTTACTGCAGAGGCACACTGTTCTGCTCTTCACTGTTCCTTCTTGAGGTGCAGTCTCGGTCTGACTGGTGATTACATCAGGTTTGCTACTTTTACCAAGAATCAGCTCCCCAGCCAACACTGCAGAAGGCTCACATCACTTTTATTTTGTTTTATTTTGAGAGAGTGAGAGACTAACCCCTCCTTTCAGATATTCTGAATCGGCTGCGGAGCTCGTCGATGAAGACGAGGGCGGTGGCTGTTTTCACCGTCCGATCCCAGTCCGGCACAAGGCTGGGGGGAGAGGGTTGCAGGTCGAGCTGTGCAGTTGTGTCGGGTCAGTAGCTTGTCTGCACAGAGCTTGAGAGCTGCTGTCCAGGGTTTTGAGCTGGTTTGTGCTGTTGCCCTGTTGTTGCAGGATCATCTGGAGGACTCTGAGCAGTTGAAAATGAACTACACCACTGTCACTCCCACTTCACAATATTATGATTATGATTATGAGGCAGGCCATGCCACAACCATGTACTTCATAATCATAGCCACCGTCATGATGTACTGCCTGGCCTTCGTGCTGGGCACCATCGGCAACGGCCTGGTCATCTGGATCACCGGCTTCAAGATGAAGAAGACGGTCAACACCATCTGGTTCCTCAACCTGGCCGTGGCCGACTTCCTGTTCACCGCCTTCCTGCCCTTCACCATCGCGTACACCGCCATGGGCTTCCACTGGCCCTTCGGCCGGGACATGTGCCGGCTCAACAACTTCGTCATCGTCCTCAACATGTTCGCCAGCATCTTCCTCCTCACCATCATCAGCCTGGACCGCTGCCTGTCCGTGATGGCCGCCGTGTGGGCGGTCAACTGGCGCACCCCCCGCCGCGCGGAGGTGGCCTGCCTGCTGGTGTGGGTCTTGGCCTGCTGCTGCAGCATCCCCTTCGCGGCCTACCGAGACACCGTAGTTTATGGCCTCAATATGACAATATGCTACTATAACGAGTCTGGACTTGAGGCCTACGACAAGCTGGTTCTCTTCCGTTTCTTCATGGGCTTCCTGTTTCCTCTCATCATCATCGTCTGCTCCTATGTGGCCATCGGCTACCGCTTCCACACCATCCAGAGGAAGAAGTCCCTCAAGCCCTTCCGGGTCATCCTGGCCGTCATCCTGACCTTTTTCTTCTGCTGGGTGCCCTTCCACATCTTCCAGCTCCTGGAATTGAAGTTCAAAGGGGTAGAAGCAGTGATGCACGGAGCGACCATCTCCGCCAGCCTGGGCTTCCTCAATAGCTGCATGAACCCCATCCTGTACGTGTGCATGTGCCAGGACTTCCGGAAGAAGTTCCGCAGGTCCTTCCTGCTGGTGCTAGAGAGCGCCTTCCTGGAGGAGCACCTGCTGAGCTTCACCCGCCGGTCCACGGCGCACCCCGACTCGTTCATGCAGGTGCACCAGAAGAACACTCTGTTCACCGACTTCCCCGATGAAGACAACGGCGCCCACGAGTCGCTGTAGAGGAGCGCAGCGATCCCCGTACCCCAAGATCTCCTCGCCCCTTTCCCACGAGGGCAGTATGGGCCCGGAGGAGAGTGTGGGGCAAAGGGCATCACGGAGGGGCAGACAGCAGAAGAGCTTCCCAGCTTCTGAGTGGAGAAGGAGAACTGGACGACAGGACTGAAGCACGGCTCCCTTTAGACCAGCAGGGGGCGCTACACTCCCCACCTTTGCTCCTGTCTCATTGTCTTGAGATCATTCATGTTGCACGTTACTGTTAAGCAAAGCTTTGCGTGTTGAAAACTCGTTGTAGCAGGTGAAGATTGTGTTTTCTGTGCACTCTGTATATGACGAATGAATTCTGTGAGTTCTGAAAGCTCCAGGCTCTAGTGCCAGCAGGGAATTTGCAGGCACAGCTCTGAGTTAATCTTTTTTGTCATTTCCTGTAGTGTTCATTTGTGAAAATATTCAAATATCCCTCTCCTGGTTCAGGGGGATCCTGGCCTGGTGATGGGGACAGCCATTTTTTGTTTCATTAGCAAATGCAATCAGGCTTCGTTCTGTCTTTTATAACGTTTGTAATGCATATAAGGTTGCAAATTCATGTCACACAGCTGTGTACAGTTAGGTACAGATGTGCAATTAAGCTTATTGACAGTTCAATTAAGGATATTAAAATGGAAGTTCATTCAGCACCGTACGGATAACAGCAAACAGACAAAAGGGTATTCCAGAGCTGACAATATTTCTGATCTTTTTGTTATCAAATCAGATTATAGCATCTGACATACTGTTTTTAATTATACAATATTCAGTAAAAGTCTGGAATGTGTTACCCTATATAATGTACGTTTTTACTCTGTACACCCTATACAATGTGCTGTCCATATGTGTGAATGGCCATGAGGGAGAAGTGAGGGAGAAGGCTGACTAATCTGGTTAAATAAAGCTTTATACTCATGAAATTTATTGTGACTATAATCATGTTTAGATTCATGCTGCAGGAACCTGGATCCACACTTACCCAGTCAGCCTTACTTAGCGGAAATCCAGGTGCTGGCTTATAGTCTTGGGGTGAAATGTTTTTGTGCCCAACAGACCCCCCTGCACCCCAAAGTGACTTAAAACCTGAAGCTGGAAGAGATGGAGGGACATTTTGTTGCCAGATCTCTGGTGCTGGACTGGTTCTGGTCTGGGCTGTGGACCTGGACCCGCAGAGCTCTGGTTCTGGTCTGGGCTGTAGAACTGGACACACAGAGCTCTGGTTCTGGTCTGGGCTGTGGACCTGGACCCACAGGGCTCTGGTTCTGGTCTGGGCTGTAGAACTGGACCCACAGAGCTCTGGTTCTGGTCTGGACTGGGAAAAGCCATGTCGTAGGAGCGGATTCCCTGTTTTTTTCCGGAGAAACAGCTGGATGAGATCCTGGGCTCAGTCAACTACCACCTCCTGTCCTCTGCCAGCTGTGAGCTGCGGTTCTGCCCACTGCTCTGGGCCTGCCCTGCGCTCCTTGCTGTCAGCAGTGCTGGGAGCCCGGCCTGCAGTGCAGCTGGACCAGAGAGCAGAGCCTTTCAGTCTGAGAGCGCGCTTGAGCAAGGGCGTCCCCCTGCGAGCTGAGGGACAGGCACCTCCTCCAGACCAGTTTTACTCCGGGCAGGGGAGGTGGGCTGGGAGCTGAAGGACAGGCCCCGCCGCTCTGTCTGAGCGCAAGGCCTGGGTATCGAGGAGACATCTCGCACGGGACCTGTCTGTGATGGGGAAGCTGATCGGTTTCGGCTCGCCCGAAACGGCAGGAGAGTTCACCGCTGAGGGCACGGCGGGAGTTTTTTCTGCCTGACAGGAACTCTGCTGTTTTGGCAGGAACAGACCGGAGGAGGTGTCGTGGTGTGAAATCTTATCTCCTAGATCGATCTAGCCCCAGCGCACTCTGTTAATCAGAAAGAGACAGAGCGAGGGGGGCTTAGGCAGGAGTTCTGGGGGGATTTGCAATCTTCATCACATCCTGTTGTAGCCCACCACCCCACAGGAAATTAATGGTTTCTGCTTCTTGCTAATTGAAGATCTGGTTTGGCGTGTTTCTCCTGCTCTGTACCTGTGTCTGCGTCTGTGTGTGCCTGTGTGTGAGTGCTTTGTGTGTCTCTGTGTGTGTCTGTGTGTGTGAATGTACGAGTGTGTATGTGCATACATGTCTGCAGGTATGTGTGTTGATGAAATCTGAATTAATGTGTCTCAGTAACCAGACCAGCGAGGAGTTTCTCCAAGACAGTAAGATAAGATAAGATCTAAGATCACTTTATTGGCCATCCACAGTACAATTTCCCACGTTAGGAATTTGTCTTTTCACAGACCCCAACTTTCCCATGAGACACACAGACAGGGAGAGACGCTTGGGGTCAGAGCGCAGGGTCAGCCATTTATACGGGGCCCCTGGAGCGGCTGGGGTTAAGGGCCTTGCTCAGGGGCCCAACAGAGTAGGATTCCTCTGCCGGCTGTGGGATACAAACCGGCAACCTTCCAGCCACAGGCGCAGAACCTGAGCCGCAGAGCCACCACACCGCCCTCCAGCACAGTTCCTCACACCCTCCTAGAAGCTCGTGAGGAGCTGCAGCCCGTGGGGGCGTAGTCCCTGCAGGGTGCAGACTGAGAGGCAGGGAGCTGGAGTGTGTGTCCGGAGCACATTGCCCACAGTGGCTGTGGACTGTGGACTGTGGAGAGAGCAGGCCAGCAGACCTGACCTCCAGGCACAGCGCCGAGAGAGGAGAGCAGGGAAGTGAAGCACGTGGGAAGACGACCCCAGTACAGTTATTTCAAGAAAACGTTCTGAATAACTTCAGGGCAAAAGCTCAGTTTCACCAGAGAGTGTGATTTTCCTGTGATATAAACCTCTTAGTCAATCTGGTTTCATTGTGAAACTGAAGAGGGTTATAATCACAGCAGAGCTTGATCAATAGTTGTTTCTCTTTAGCTTCAACAAACCATAAATAAATGTCCAGAGGTACTGATCGGGGCATTGATTATTGTACAACATTGGAGCCATATACAGAGCTACTGGTCCACCTGCACATGATTCACTGACAAATAACTTCATTATCACTTCAGCACTGATCTG